GAGAGAGAGAGAGAGAGAGAGACTTGGTGCATGGAGGAGAGAGAAAACGTAATGTCTTAAGAGAGGGGCTCGATGGTGTTAGAAAGAATTTTATCTCGTATTTGGACTAGAATTCATTCCTTAGGAATTGCCTAACCAATAGCACAACTGGACCTACAGGAACTTAAGAAATTTGTGGGGTGAGAGAGAACTAATCTGAGCCATCCATCACATAAATCAATTATCATGATTTTAGGAGGATTATTAGGAAACTATCCCCGTATAATTTGACCCAAGTCCACCTTCTATTTAAATTAGAATTATAACCAATCCAAAACTTCCTAATGTCTCTCCAAAATCTGTACGAAGTCAAAGCAATTAGAGGTTTGGTCAAAACAAACTCCTAATTAAAACAATATTTTAATATTTAAAAAATTTCTCTAAAATAACCTTTAACAAAAAAGAAAAGTCACATAAATAAAAGAAAGAGGGTGTGCCACCCAAGAGAGATTTAAGTGCACCCTCGTCCCACTCATGGGTGGGACACTTATGGGGTTGAATACACAGGCCCCACATGTGCCCTTCTAAATTTTAAAAATTACAAAAATGCCCTTTGGAAGAATTTTATAGCAGAAATAAATTTTTAAAATTCTGAAAAATTTGTACTAATGAGTCAAAATTAACGACAATAAGGGCACTCCACTTGACTCAAGAACCATGATCCAATATTGTTTTTGTGTCCAACCCAAAAAGACCCATGACCTATAGTCTTGATGTAGGGGCCATTATTGGTTTGTCAAAGTTGGACAATAAATAGTGGAACTATGATTATGGAATGTGGATTTTGGTCTCCCCTTGAAGAGCAGGTCCAACACTTGTCACCATAATGCAAAGGGAGCTTTCTCTATGCACATGTTCAAGTGTCCTCTATAGGGCTGTTTCTCAGTAATGCAGTTATCATGTGTACATGCCGTGTGGAGGGTCGTTGAGGTTTCTGCCCTTGCTCTCACATGGCTACAACCGCACACTGGAGGCCACATAGTTCTTGTAGCTTATAAATATTATCCCTGGGCTCTCTCCGATCTCAACAAGGGATCGCCCATTGTAAACCCTTCTCGATAGTTTCACATGCCTAGGGGTAAGGGTTTTGGATATAACCGAGGCCCTAAATCGCCCAACCCATGGTTAGTCAACACACACTCCCACTAAAGTGCGTATTCCATTATAAATCATCATTTTTACAAGCTCTCTAATCCTTTAAAGGCCACAAAACCCAACAAAAATGAGGCTTCTCAAGGTGGGGACAAGGAATGTATCTATATAGGGGCCCTTTTGCCATCTATTTATACGTCCTCTCATTCCAAATGGGATTTTTAGTGTTGGTTTGCCCGGTCCAAAACAATTTGTGCAAATAGTTATTGTCATTTCGACATTTGTTGGAGAAAGGAGTTGGAAGGGTGGCATGATTGGAATGTGGGGTGGGGACTACTCTGCACTATGCACTATGGAGCACAAGGCACTTTACAATGGCTATGGCTTAACTTCAACACCAAGGCAAGCTCATTGAGAGTGGAGCATGGGAGAGACTTTAGTCTTTTTCAAAGCAAAGTTTCAGTAGCATAATGCTATCATAGGCTTGATGAGAAATGACCCTCCATGACCCCTTTTTATAGATGATAGCTAGGGTTTGATATGGGTCTAGAAGCTTCTTCTTAAGATGGAGTAATGTTTGCCATTGATCTAGAAAATCTATGGGGTGAGAGAGGCTTCATCCAAACCATCCATCCTTTGATGAACTTCATCAATCAAGGGTTGAGATTAATGCCTTATCCCTTAGGTTTCCAAACCCCAATTCCCTTGGATTTAAAACTCTATAGAGCACTAGGTCGTAATATCACATGAGCCCATAAAATATCTTCACATTTTTAATTAATCACATTATGTAAAATGGAAAAAGGTCGAGAGAGAAGTAGGAAGGGCGTGCCACCGATGGGGACCACCTCTCTCATTTCACATGAGAGGAGAGACAATGGATATTCCAAGGCATCTCTCGTACCTTTAACTAACTTGCACATGTGATCAATTAAAAAGAGGCATGTAGACCATGTTACTTACATGGGATGGGTGATCTAGTGACATGTGTCCAACCATGAACCAAAGACAAAATTTCCCTTTGACCTTTGGGGAAAAAGACGAAAGATTGCCCCTCAAATCCCATTGCATGTGGTTTATCTTGAAAATTCCAAATTTGTTTATAACAACAATTAGAAGTATGGCAAGAGGCCCCTAGGCTTGACGTCATCACCATGTCATTACTTGGTGGCCCACCAAATGGGCCACATGGGTGGGCCCTAATAACTCGTTTTAGCTCCATGGGCCATTTGGATCTCACATGTGCGATGTTTTCCACATGATTGGTCCTCACTTGTCATTCTTATATTTGTTATTTATGGTTGTTTTCTCACATAGAAAAATTCTCAAACAGCATTTGTTACCATAATTAACAAATTGAAGTTGTTTTGGGCTCCTAAAAAAAATCAAGGGAATTAAGCATCTTTAGCTGCCTTGGGTTTAGAAGCGTATAACTTACCTTGAAACCCTATATCACTTTCTCAAGTCGACCCAACGGGATCCATGACCCACAGTCTCTAGCAGGGCCTCATGATTAGTTTATTAAAGCCAATTAATAGGCAGTGGGATTCATGGATTTGGTGGATTACAAGTGCAGCCCCAAGGACAAGTACATTAAGTAGTGCAAACTAGGATGCGGGGGTTCTTTCTATGCACATGTGCATGTCCTTCACTGTGCGCTTTCCTGGGAAGGTGGCTTCCCATAGAGCACAACTATCATATGCACAATGCTGTGGGTGATGTTGTATTGGGGATTTGGCCCTTATTCTCTTAGGCCACTTCTTTTGCAAGGAATATTGTCCTGGCTCCAACCACGTGCATACAATGACCTTGACTAAGGGATTACTCTTAAGCCCTCATAGTAACAACCAGGCCACTGCTTAAACCCCCTGGTTAAGGGTTTTCGTGACTCAGAGATACCTCTTTAGGGCCCCAAACTGCCTAGGCCTGAGTCAAAATGGATAGGCTAGACGCCTAACTGTCCCCTTTTGCGGCCCAAGCTCCCACTGGAGCCCAAGAAATCAATACCAAGGGTACATGTTACATGGCATCAAGGCCTTAAAAGGCACCTCACAGATCTGGCTAGTTTTGATTGTGCTTCCCTCTTGTTTAATTGAGCTTTGGAGGCCAATACATGTTTATTCAAATTTAGAGACGATTAGGCTTACCCGAGCCTTATGTGTTTCGAATATCATGAGCTATGTTTTTGTTCTTGTGGAAATATCCTACTATTTTAGCTAGGTGACTTGTGATTTTGATAGTAATTTTGCACATATTTTTTTGTAATTTCGGCAATCCTTTTGCGTAACCAATTTCCCATTTGAAATTGTTATCTATGTGGTCTGCATCTTCTTATCATTCTCTTGTCCAAAATTGTGATCTTCAAATGCCATAACCATATTCAGTAGAAGAAATTTCCCTCTTGCACCTAGATCCCCCAGTGGCAGTGGCCACCAACGTGATCTCATTTGTTGCCAGAGTCCATCAAATGCTTTTCCTCCCCTAACAAATAAACCCATGATCCCTAATCTCAAAACTGACCACGCTCTCCCAGGTTCACCTGTGCGCCAGCTTCTTGGAACACTAAAATTCTTGAAACACCCCCTTCCATGTGAGAAGAGAGAAAGTATAACAAGAAAATCTGGAACTGATGCCTGAGACAGTAAAATATCAAACTATATCCAGAAATTCAGCGAAAGGATCTTGGAAAGAAAACACAAAAACAAAGCACCTGGAGCCAAAACAAAGTAGAAATTATCCTAATCATGAAATAATGACGGACTCACTGGAAAGAAAAGAACATAGTCACAACCAACATGCTTCCTTTCCAGGGTCACTGCTGAGCATTTTACTTCTAAAGTTGTGGTTTTCCTTCATACTATTTCTTTTTTGTTGGGTATTCAGTGGCATCATTTATTTATTTTTTAATCATGTAACAGGGTGATTGAAACCTTTTCCTAAAGTATTTAATAGAAAGCTAACTTCTTGTAGCACTAGCCATAGTTTCCTGTGACTTACCACTCATTTAACTACAAAAGTTTTATCTCTGCAGCCAGAGAAGGTTAAATTTGTACTTAGATTGGGACAAAGCAAGCCCATTTTCAATGCGTTTAAAGCTATTCAAGAATCTTCAAGTTGGCAGGCCTTGTCTGAATCTCGTAAGCGTATCGTGAAAGGTAATCCTCCTATATTACAGCAAATAAAATAATTTCTGCCACATGATTATTTGCACATATTAACTTAGGGGGAATCGATTCATGATAATGCTTTCATGAATGAGTCCCATTGATATATTTGGTTTGCTGTTTCGCTAAATGAATTAGGGCTGTGAACTAAGTGTTTCCCAGCTTAACCTCCCTTCAATTTTCATAATCTTTACCTTCGCCTTCCAGAGTGGTAGGTGTTTCATGTTATCTTATTTTGGTCCAGTTTTTTAGATGTCTTTTAGTTATTACATCTAAAGTTTGAAGTCCGATGTTACCATGGCTCATATGAAACCTGAATGTTGCAATACAGCTCAGAGTTTGTCATTTTGTGGTTGCAGCCCAGATAAAGGAGGCAGTCCTCAATGGTGTTGCATTGGATGATGAGAAGAGAGAACAGTTTAACAAAATTCAACAGGTTGGCATCTTCCTTTTTAGGCTGGCTTTTTGTAATGAAGTTCACTAATTTTACTTTGTGGTGGTGGCCTGTTTCAATGTTCCATGTTGAGTGTAGAGCTTAAGTTAGTGATGTGATTTTCATCTTCCTTGCATAAGAAATTTGAGCTCTTTATACCCAGTTGAATTGATGTAGAACATATGATGATTGTTGCTGAATGTTGCATTGTCGTCAACTTGAAGATACTGGCAAAATGAAGAAATATTCTTCCTAAGGGATTGCTAGCCTTTAGACATCAATACAAATCAGATGCTGCAGTTTGTTAAGGCAGCAGACAATATGGGTGTAGTTGTTTGGGGGAGCCGATGGAACACAGGTCCCCGTGGGATGGTATGGACTGAAAAAAAAGGGGTGAATGGGGGAATATAAGAGGTTTTTATGGTGAGCGAGACACTAATGGTGAGTGGACAACATTGGAGCTCTCTTAAAAAGGTTTATGGTGTGTTGCTCTTCCTTCCGTTCCCCTTCCCTCTACAAGGGTGTGGATGACTCTATTGGTACAGGATAAGGTGGGATGGACATAGAGGTTTGAGAAGCACAATCCAATCATGTGTGCCAGAAGGAATTTTTTTTTGCTTTTAAACCGATTGAATTAAGGCTTATTCACGTAGTAGACGAGGATAAGATGCATTAATTCACATACTAACTCCCTGGTCTCAACTATGCAGTAGGGGGGATGGTGATGAAAAGGAATTTTGGTGAAGCTTTTTCACTGCTAAACAATTGTGTGAATGCATATGTACACACACAAACACATTTTATGGACATTCTCTAGGTGTGACAAGGAACCTAATAACAGCTAGCGTTCGTTGATCTAGCTTTATAAAAATATGATTACAAGTTCATTTCTTGAACCATATTATAGATATCTATTGTTTTGTCTTGTTGATATTTGACCATACCATAACCTCTAGTAGAATTTCTCAAGAGGGAAAATAAAGTGCATTTCATTATTGAGAAAGAATATTGGAAATCCATTTTAAATTTAACTACATGCATTGTAACTGAGACCAATAGAATGAATAACTGAACTATGTTTTCATTTGTATGTCTTAGTATATCTTGTGTAGGTTGCGTGTTTCTCTTAGGCTTTTCATTTCATTTTATGCTTTTCAATTTGCTCTTCTCATTCTCTAGTTGTTTGCAGGAGCTTGAAAAACTATCCCAGAAATTCAGTGAAAATGCTTTGGACGCCACCAAGAAATTTGAATTATTGATTACTGATGAGAAAGAAATTGAAGGACTTCCAGCTACAGTACTTGGTCTGGCTGCACAGACGGCACTTTCCAAGGTATCCCTTTATAAAATTGTTTTGGTTTGAGTTATTTTCCTTATGTTGTATCTTATTTGTAATATGGTCTACTTGTTCTGAATTGGCCTTTCAAATGTGCCATGTAACACTTGTTCTGAATTGGTCTTTCGAATGTGGCATGTAAATAAAATGGTCATTGGCTGCATCCTTTTCCCTACTTCAGGGGCATGAAGGAGCTAGTGCTGAAAATGGGCCATGGTTAATTACCTTGGATGCTCCGAGTTATCTTCCTGTTTTGCAACATGCAAAAAACCGGTCTTTGCGTGAAAAAGTTTATCGTGCTCATATTACTAAAGCTGCCGCTGGAGATCTTGATAACACAGATATCATAAATCAAACTTTGAAGCTACGTTTAGAGAAAGCTAAGTTGCTAGGGTACAATAACTATGCTGAGGTAAGGGAGATACTCACTTTCTTCTCGAATGTCTGTGTTTGTGTGTGTGTGCGCGCATGCGTGCATGCGTGTGTTGTGCTGTGTTGTGTTGTGTTGTGTTGTGTTGTGTTGTCTCTTGGTGTAAATTACTTACTGTAGGTTTATTGGGTTCTCTCTTTGTGTAAATTACTTACTGTAGATTTATTGTCTTAAGGTAAGCATGGCAAAGAAAATGGCTACTGTTGAAAAGGCGGAAGAGCTTCTGGAAAAACTTCGTAGTGCTTCCTGGGATGCTGCAGTCAGAGGTATTGAGCCATCTGCATATGCAATATTGTATTTCAGCTTCTATCAACCTAATGAATTGTGAATCTCATCGTGGAAATGTATCTCTATAAACTTGTAATTCTTTCGACTTTTCTATCAATTAAAAAAGTAAAATGGGGAACAGCAGAAGGAAATATATATTTCACTACGCAATATATTCATCATAATGACTTAGAATTTTTGCCTGTGGATTTCTTTGGCTTCAATGAATTCACTGTTTGTTTAAGTCTGGTTTTCCTACATACTATTGAAACTTGAATTTGTGGGCTGGTATTATGAACATATTTCTACAAAGATGCGTTTTTGTATTTCTGATGAGTGTTTTGCTCTTTTGGATAACGGTAGTGGTTTATTGATTATTATTCCATGAGTTTCCTTTTTTTTGTCTTTCATGCAATTCCTCATAGCCCTGATATGAATAAAACACCCTCCATTGTACCATTTATTATTATTCCATGAATTGCTCATTGATTTAGTGCTTTTGTCTTTATTTTGGATCCCATAGGCCATCAACATAAATAGACCAATTATAGGGAATTTTCTTGGAATGATGAATCTTAGGGAAGATAGTCTATCTTGTCCAATGAGGTTTATTGTCCAGAAGATTGAGGGATATGTAGATCTCTGGAGACTAGATGGTGTGGGAAGGACTTTTAAACTCATTTTTACAGGATTAGTGCTTTAACTTGCAGTACAGAGTGAGAAGTGGAACTGCTTTTCTTTGGCTCTTAGAATGTGAATTTGATCTTCAATGAAAAGAAGCCCTAGGGATTCAGAATTGGAAGAGTTGGTTTTGTATGTGTTGGGTTTATAGCCTTTCAAGACCTTGACACCATTGTTTGTGGTGGTTTTTATGATTCTTGTCCCCAGTGGGATGGACATGAACCTTGTGACTTGTTGGATCTTTGCAGGTTGGCATCCGAAATGGGTGTCTGTAGAGCTGCAAAACCCTGGATCATGAGCCCTAGTGTTACTCATGCCCAAAGGGTTTGGGGGGTTATCCCTAGTTAGGGTCGGCAAAATCACTCATGAACGGGTTCTGATCCAGGGCATTGTCTATGACACGAAGAACCCTCTTGGCGTTTATATTTTTTAGGATCGTTATAGGCTCGAAATTTGTATGTTTGCCTTGTGTGAGAAGCTAGGCTTTGAGAGGACATAAGCCAAACTCTTGACCTTGAGCCATCTCAAACCATGTGCATATGACAGTCGCAAAATGGGAAACTGCTTTCACTCAGGATGGTCCATTGAGGAGAGACATGCTCATGTGCTAGAAAGAAAACCTCTGCATCTGTAAGAGTGCATGTCCCTTAGGGGTAAATCTGCAATCCATTATAATCCCGGATCCGGCCATATATTGACTTAACTTTGATGAGCCAAGCATGGGCCCTTCCATAGCCAAGTAGGACATGGGTCTTGTTGGGGTAATTTGAGAATATGACTTAGGATTCCTGGGCTAGTTGAGTGCAGTGCTCGTGCCCTACAACTGACTTTATATCCTAACGGATCCTAGTTTCCATCAAAATATTTTCCTTAGATGCCAAGCTTATTCAAATGAAGTAAATATGACTATAGATGATTTTTGAAAATTTTATAGAATTGTTTGGAGTCAAAAATCATAATTTTGAAATTTGTTTGAATTACCACCCAAGGACAGGCCACACATGTGGTGGCCAAATGGTAGGTGCTGATGTGTCACACTTTGGGTGACATGTATATATGTATTGTTTGTTATGGTGACTTATTCATGATAAGTGTGATTTTGTGTAATGAGCCTATGTAATTTAATATTGTGCATGGTGATTTAATTGTGCACGTATGTGCATATGGCACGAGTGGTTAATCATCTAGATAGGCCATATGGTTTAATATTTCTATTTAAGCTCTAGGTCTTATAGGAATTGATCATAACCATGCCGTGTGTCACATTATTATTTATTTTGTGTGTGAGCTAGGTTGGCAAGAGAGAAAAGTACCTTTTTCCTCATGATAAGTTAAGAGAGAGAAAATAAGAGAAAGAAGAGGGGCATGCCCCTCCTGTGCCATTGCTTTCACACATTTTATTGAATTACCATGGGCAAAATTGGCATCACATAATTATTTAAATATCAAATTTGAGTTTGAATTCATGAGGGAAATTTGGAAATGAAATTAGGTTTTTTTTTTGAAATTTAAAATGAAATGAAATTAGGGCTAAAGGGGATAATGGTGTGAAATCACATCCACACATACGATAGCCATTCTGTGAGGTGTATGGCTAGGATCTTAGCTCTCTCTCACCCCGTAGATGTCTTTCATCAATGGTGCAAATTAAATAAAGCGGAAGCTTCCACACACCTTCCCTTAAAATTGATATACAAATTCTTTAGACCTAGCTCTGTTTAATTACCTAATTTTAGAGTGAGAAAACAATCATAGAGACAATGGCATGCGACCTCTATTGAGCTCTTAGAGAGTTAGAGGAGTGAGAAGAAAAGATAGAGAGAGGCACACCCCTCATGGTGCCTCACCCATGGTGACCTTGGAGAGCTTTTCTTCCTTGAGCCTTGGATTTAAAAGGGTGCTTTCCTCCATCTTTTACATCATCTTTTCTTGCTGTAATCATCCATTAAGAGCAAGGTATAAGGTCATTTACCCTTCTTTTACATTAAGTTTCCTTGCTCCTTTGTATTCCTAGATTGATAGCCTTGATGCGGAGTTCATTTATCTACACTTGCGCATAGTGTCATGAAGTTTTCATGAATTTAATTTGCTGAAATTTTCTGACTTTTTTCATTTTATGATCATAGCAAAATTTGTTCCTAGTGACCTGAGAATCATGATTTACTAAGCCCTTACTATTCCAAAAATTTCAAAAAAATTTTGGAATCATGATTTACTAAGCCCTTACTATTCCAAAAATTTACTAAGCCCTTACTATTCGAAAATTTTCCACTTCCATACTTAGTTATTTGGTTACCATTGCCTCCATTTTGCATACACCATCACTGACACGTACACACCCTCTCTCTCTCTCTCTATCTTTCTCTCTCTTGCTCTCTCCCTCTCTTTCTTCCCCCCGCACGTTGTTTATCTTGCGTCCCACTTCAATAGTTTTTCTTATTTCTAGCATTCTCATTTGGTTAAGCTCCTTGTTGCATGCTTCCTACAGCTGAGATTTATTTTGGACTATATATCTTTGGGATTGTCTACCATGAGACCATTTACCTTTGGTATAGAGAGGTCACAATTACTTACAACCATCCGATGTGAAATTTGATAGTTTGGGTGTGTCACAAAGTTCGAAAAAAATTCTTTTGAACTGTGAGCTTTGTCAATGAAATAAATGCAGCCACCCAATTTTACATCCAATGGTCAAGATTAATTGTGACCATCTTGTACCAAAGGTAAATGGTCTCTTTATATACTTTCCCTATATATCTTTCGCTATCAGTAGCAAATATAATATGAGGTGTATGTAAGTTCTTGGTGGTTGAACTGGGCACTTTGAGCCTTGAAATTTGGCTTTAAACATGATTTAAAATTAATGCAGTTTTGTTTATGGAAAATGGAGATTATGCAAGTTTGCAATTCATATGTGTGTATGTTTTGTGAATTTGTACAAGGGACTGAAATTTGTATTTAAGTGGCATTGTATTGCCTTGTTTTTAATCTCTGTATCATCAACGTGAGTCTCTCCATAGAGTCAACTTGAGTGGGAGTTGTGTTGGGACAAAGTGAGGTCATGTATATGTTGTTCTGAGTGTATGTAATGCCCATTATATGTTGAAAGTTTGACTGTATTTGATATAATTTTGGTCCAAGGTCATTGTATTCGAAGCATCTTGTATTCAAGTAAGCAAAATTTGTAAGTGTTATATCTTTGGACTTGGGTTAATATACTCACCAATATGTGGGAGCTAGAGCACATTTTTATCAATCAGTGATATTGATGCAGGGAAGATGGGAAAGAAGTAAATTAATCAGAAACTAAAGATACAAAATAAAAGATGAGAGATATACCTCTCTCAGGGTCTGCAAGGAGTCCACCCCAAAAAGATCTTTTCACAAGACCCAAAATAAACTCTTATTCGCTGTGCTAACTCTTTTTTCTGGTATGATAGTTACATATTTATAGAAAAAGAGAAACCTAAACCTAACTTGTTCCTAAGAAACCCTAGTTAAATCCCAACCCTTCGTCTTTAAAGAAAATAAAGTTTCAATTTTACCCCTCAATCTACGACTGAAAAGACATAAATGCCCCTAAAGGAAAATAAAAACCCAAAATAACTCTAAACCTAAGTTTCAATTTCCTAAAGATAATAAAATAATAAATAAAAAACCCCAATTACATCATATATGACAGACAGAGTGATTTGGGAAAGTGACGCCTTGGGGGGTTTTTCTTTTTCTCTTGTAGATCCATGTACTATAGGCTTCACATTCAGACACTTTTAGATCCATGACAATAATAGGGGCTTGTGGTAGAACCATTCTGTCTTATCCAAAGAACATTAGAAAGTTGAATGCAGCAGCCAAAGGAAACCCACGCGCACTGTTATGGGGGTGTATTAGGAACATGGTTGGAGCTACTGTGCTGTCCTGGACCATTGGGAAATGAAAAGCCTAAAACAAGCTTATTGAGTTGTTGGAATTGTCATGCATTCATCCTTACCTCTTGAGAATAGCCACCAACCTTGGCCTCGTTACCACATGCCCCTATTATCGTCATTATGTTGGGGTTTGTGGCCTTTAAAGCCCATGAGAGCGTGTAAAAATAATAAATATAGTGAATTGTGCATCTCAATGAGAGTGTATGTTGCTTGATTGACCTAGGGTTGGGCAGTCCAAGATCCTTTTCCCCTGGGCATAGGCACTGTCATTGAGGTTTCCTAGAGAGTGATCCCTTGTTGAAGTTGGAGAGATGCCCAGGAACGATGTTTGTATGGTAGGAGAGCTTCGACTTCTCTTGTATATGGTTGTAGGCTTTTGAGAGGGAGGGCCAAATTTTCAACAGACTTCCTCACAATATGTACGTATAATAGCCGCATTCCGGGAAGCAATCCTTTAGAGGGATATGTCTACATGTTCATAGAGAGAGTCTCCCTTGCACAATCGTGATATATGCATGCGACTTGTTCCTCAGGGGGAATCTATAATTCACATACTAGGTCTGTTGTTCTACTCTTTATTGGCTAGCTTTACGGGCCAAATCATGAGCCCCTGCGCATGACTAAGGGTCATGGATCTCGTTGGATTGATTTAAGAAGATAGTCATGAATCACAGATCCTTACATGAGTGGAGTGCCATGATGGTCACTGTTCTGGTACCATTGGTGCCAATCTACCCTTAGAGGTATTTTTGAGCACTGTGGAATTTTTAAGGGCATCAAAAATACTATTTTCAACTGTAATTGTGCTCTTGTAATTTAAGAAAGCAATAGAATTTACTTAAAAACATTAATGGCTGAAAATCCTAAAAAGGGCAATCCTGATATTCGGAAAATTTGTGGGGGCATTGTGGGACTGATGTGGGGGGCCAAGGCGCAGTCCCACATGGGCCACACGCCATAGATAGGTTGAATGCCCTGCTTCTTTCCAGATTTTTATGGACTCCTGGAAGGGGAAAGATATCCCACTTGTTTGTGAAATCTTCCCTAGATTCCTTCCTAAATCAAGATGGCTGATTTCAAGAATGGATGGTTCTAATTTATATCTCTCTCACTCATAGGTTACTTGGGCTTCTAAGGTCAAATTGTTTTCTAATTCAAGTTGAAATACCCTTTGGCCTTGAGGCCTACATAAAGGGGGGTCCCCCCTCATTCTTATTACCTTACTTTCAGACCTCTCTCTCTCTGGCCGTCTCTCTCCCATCTAGGGTTGCATGCCACGACCCACCCATAGGAGCCTAGGGTGGCACGCACTATCTAGGTCAAGGAGGGGGGGTATGCGCAACCCTATCTTGTTAAAGGCATGTGCCACGTAGTGGAATGCCTGAAAGGATACAAGTGGTTAGAAATACACTAATTTCTTAGCCGATGCTCTGAGACCCATAGTTTCATGAAAGAATATTCCTAAGGTGCTTCCCAATTTAGAGGATTTAGCAGGACCAAAGGATCAGAGTGCGCCATCTGTTTAGTAATCGGGTGTAGGTTGTGATAAGCCCTAAGGGGGTAACCCTAGGAGAAAAGGTTTGGTAAGTCTTCCAGTTTTACTTACAAGTTTATTCTTAGTTCTTGATTCTTATTGTCTATAGAAATCCTAATTGTATGAAGAGTCCTATTTGGATTAGAATTCCTACTTAGACTAGGACTCCTGCTTAGATTAGAGTTCCTAATTATATTGGTATTCATAATGTAAGTCTTCAATTTTTGAATAAAGTTTTATTTTTGGCAATTAGTTAAAGATCTTATATTGTAGTATGTTTATTTTTGCATTGTATTTGTGGCAATTACAAATAGAAATTCCAGTTATTAATAAAGGAAAAGGTAATTTTTTAATTTATACCATGAAATTCTACATGGCCTCACCTTTCATATTATTGGTAATGAGAATAGTAGATCTCGAGAACTATGAGTTGCACTTGGTTTGGACATCCCTTCCTTGAGGGCTGGCAGCATTTGGGCTCTTGAACATGAACTGCACTAATATGATTAGCTACTCCACCTGACTCAACTGTCACAGTTGTGTCCAGGACAATTGCATGGTGGAGTGGCCGATAAAAGAGAACAATCCTTGCATAACGGAGTGCTGAATGTACTATCCAACCATCCAGTGGCTACCAACAGCGCTACTATTTGCCTTGAATACTTTGTTATCCATTGTCCAACAACTAGGGCTAGGCATATTGCGTACTGATGCTCCTCGTCCATTTCGTACCTTAAATCTACAATTATCCTCAAATGGTTGAGATTGGAGTTTAACTTGCATTTATCAACCTGATATGCCAGACTTATTTAACCCACTATGCATGTGGTGCATAAGATCATTGACTCTTGTATTCTTTTTGTTATTCTCTGTAATTATGTGTCTTATGTCTCCATGTCAATTTTAGTCTCTGAGCTAAAGCTCATGTATGTGGCTTTTGATTTATGCACTTGAAATGTAAACCTTAGCTTTGGTCCCTGAATACCTAGTTAAGAAGCATCTATGTACCATAACTTTTGCAGATATGGAAGACTTGCGGACTTTTTGCAGGGAAAAAGGAGCCGTAGAAGCTAATGATCTTCAACACTGGGACACTGGATTTTGGAGCGAAAGACTTCGTGAGACAAAGTATGACATAAATGAGGTGTGTTCCTTTCTTTTTATTAACGTTTCTGTCGTATGGAAATATTTTTGATTCGTACTTTTACATATGTGAAAATTTATTCCATGTGAAAAAAATTACCATATAATGACTCTTTTCATTTGAAAGGACCTCTCCCTACTTCATGAGGTGGGGAAAAAATTATGCGGAGTTATTTTTGCTGTCGGATCCTGAATTAAACTATCTCAAAATTTAAGTTCTAGGGAGAGAAATTATTCTAAAATTCTTAGAAAGAGAATCTATCTCAAAATTTAAGTTTAAGAGAGAAAAACTATCTCAAAATGAATGAGAGAAACTATCTTAAATGGTTTAGAGAGAGACTATCTTAAATATTTAAGAAAGGGAAATTATCTCAAAATTTTTAGGAAGAGAAACTATCTCAAATTTTTAAGTTTTAGAGAGAAACTATCTCAAAACGTTTAGAGAGAAACTACATCTAATTTCAAACTTTCGAGAGTGAAACTCTCAAAAATTTTAGGGAGAGAAACTAACTTCAAATATTTAGAGAGAGACTATCTCAAAGTTTCTAGAGAGGGGAGCTATTTCAAATTAGATAAACTATCTCAAAATTTTTAGGGAGAAACTAGCTCAAATTTTTAGTTTTAAAGATAGTATCTTAAAATTTTTAGAGAGAAGCTATCTCAATTTACAAATTTTAGATGGACAAACTACCTCAAAATTTTTGGACAGAGAAACTAGCTTAAAATTTGTAGTGTGAGACTATCTCAAAGTTTTTAGAGAAGCTCTATATCAAATTTCAAATTTTTAGAGAGAAAAACTACCTCAAAATTTTTATAGAGAGAAACTATCTAAATTTGTAACTTTTAGAGAGAAAGAATCTTAAAATTTTTAGAGAGGGAAACTATATCAAATTTCAAGTTTTAGAGAGAAGCAATCTAAAAAAATTTTAGAGAAAGAAACTACATGAAACTTATTAGAGAGATAAACTATCTCAAACTTTTTAAAATGAAGCTATCTCAAATTTCAAAGGTTTAGAGAAACTATTTCAAAATTGTTAGAGAGAAACTATCTCAATATTTTAAAAGAAACTATCTCAATTTTTAAGTTTACAGAGAGAAAATATCTCAAAATTTTTTTAGAAAGAATATATCAAATTTCAAATTTTAGGGATAGAAACTATCTCAAAAATTTTAGAGAGAAATTGTATTTTAATTTTTAGAGAGAGAAACTTTTTCAAAATTTTTAGAGCAAGAAATTATTTCAAGTTTTTAGAGAGAAACTATCAAAAAAATTTTAGAGAAAAATTGTCTCATTTTTTTTGAGAGACACTATACTAAACTTCAAGTTTTAGAGACAAAAACTATCTAAAAATTTTTAGAGAGAAATTGCGTTAAGATTTTAAAGAGTGAAGTATAATAAAGTTTTAGAGAGAAAAGCTATCCCAAATTTCAATTTTTTAGCGAGAGAAACTATCTCAATTTTTAGAGAGAAACTAACTTAAATTTTAAGTTTTAAAGAGAGAAACTATCTCAAAATCGTTAGAGGGAGAAATTTTATCAAATTTCAAGTTCTAGAAAGATAAACGATCTCAACTATGTTAGAGAGACTATATTTAAATTTTTAGAGAGAAACTTTCGTAGAGTTTTTAGAGAGAAGCTATCATATTTAAATTTTTAGAGAGAAACTACCTCAGAGTTTTTAGAGAGAGAGACTATCTCAAAAGTTTTAGATAGAGAAGCTATCTCAAAATTTTTAGAGAGAAACTATCTTAAAATTTTTAGAGAGAAACTATTTTAAAATTTTTAGAGAGGGAAATTATTTCAATTTCTTATTTTGATAGAGAGAAAGTATCTCAAAATTTGTAGAAAGAGAAACTGTATCAAATTTCAAGTTTTAGGTAGAGAAACTATCTGAAAACTTTAGAGAGTGATACTGCATAAAACTTTTTAGAGAGAAACTATCTCAAAGTTTTTAAAGAGTGAAGCTATCTGAAATTTTAAATTTTTTAGAGAGAGAAACTATCTCAATTTTTTTGAGAAAAACTAACTGAAAGTTTAAAGTTTAGAGAGAGAAACTATAGCAAATTTTTTAGAGGGAGAAACTATATCGAATTTTAAGCTGTAGAAAGAGACTATCTCAAAATTTTTAGAGAAAAACTATATTTAAATGTTTAGAAGGAGAAACTATCTCTAAAGTGTTTAGAGAGAGAAACTATCTCAAATTTCAATTTTTTGAGAGAGAAACTGGTTCGGAGTTTTTTGAGAGAGAAACTATGTCAAAATTTAAGTTTTAGAGAGAAAAACTTTCTCAAAATTTTTAGAGAGAAACTATATCAAATTTCAAAATTTAGAGACTATTTCAAAATGTTTAGAGAGAGAAACTATCTCAGAGTTTCAAGTTTGCTGTGCTCCCTCTCTCTACCTGTTTCCAAAAATGGGAAAAAATTATGTTTTTGTAATTTTTTTCCTGTATATTGTTTGCATATGTAAATATTTTGTGTGTAAATAATTTCTTGTCAAACTTTCATGCGAACCAAATGACCCCTAATACTTAATTCTGCTTTGTTTCCTGCCTATTCATCGAAGTTGAGAGTGCGAAAAACTGTTAGAAATGTCACCTTTGTAATGCTGATTATTTATGTCATACTTGGTGGTTAGTTTCTATATGTTTGCTCTTGATAAACATCGCTTTTCTGAAATGTTAATTCCATGCATGCGTTGTGCACACATGCATACACATGCCTATTGTGTTTTGTATTGCCTGTTGATATTTTCATGAAAGATAAAATAAAGCATTTAGAGGAAGTCACCTAACAAATTGCAGTTACCAGGAACTTAGTAAACACCTTATGTCTTATTAAACCAACCTTTTTCTTATGCTTGCAAACGGGAACACTGGATTAGGTCCTTCCTGATAACATGGCAAATCCCTAGTGCCAGAATAAATCTGTTTACTGATATTCCCCTTTCAGCATCTTCTGTCACAAAGCATGATATGGATCTGGTCTTCTTGGACCCACCCTATGCTGTATGTTTAAGGCTCATACTTGCTCATCAATACGATAAGTGCAGAGTAATGTTTCCTTTTGAGCTGATGTTATTTGGTAAGATGTATAAATGTAGCTTCAATGTCATTATGACATTCATCACATATTCATGGGGCGATTTAAAACTTCTCTTTGAATGTGAATTTCGAAAAAAACTTCTATTTGAATGTGGTTGTATATGTGTTTTAACCACATATGAGATGCTATGCTAATTTCTTTTGCTAAAACTGTCATGGAGCTAAAATTGTATGAAAGAAACAGGGTAGTCCAACCTGGTTATTTGAAACTATTTGTAATAATATTTTAATACTACCCTCCAAATTAATATTTTCGGTATCTTTTGATGTTGGACTTGCTTGAATTGGTCATCCATTCTGTTCTGCTCCTTCCTCTTCAGTATATTTGGCATGTCTTCTTATGAAATCCTGCTCAAGGAAGCAAAATTTCTTCTTGTTTTCTACATTGGACGTGGCTTTCCAAGCCCTTCTTCCTTATGACCTTATTGATTCTTGCATATTTTGCCAATAATGAGCTGCTCAGAAAAGCAATGCAAATACATTTCGAAATGAGATATTGTTTGGGGAAGCGATGTTTTTCCATGGAATTTAGCAAATGAGATATTTCTGGAGCTTTTTCTGCTTCATTCAAAGTGAAGCTTATGGAAAGGCATTTAAATATTCGACACCAAAATACTAAGAATCTCAGAACTATTGAAATTGCTGGGTTTGGGAGAGGAGAATCGATAATCAAATTCAACTTCTCTCTGAATCTAGTTGTCGTATGTATGTCCTGTTATTTTGTTCTCTTGAATAACCTCACATCAAAGAGTTTCCCTGTTGAAAATATCATATCTGAGAGTTCCATGTTTGTAATATAATATATTTCTTTCTATCTTTTGGAGAAAAACTATCTTCGTCCATCTAAGAGTTTCCTTGTTGATAGTAGCATACCTAAGTGTTTCATTTTTTTAGCATACCTTCTTTCTACCTGTCAAGAAAGTATCTCTCTCTATACATACAAGGGTGCATCTGTTTAATTATCATCTGAGCTTGTGGGGTCTCACATTTATAACTCTTGACAGCTCTCCTCATAGGAATGCCTTGGATTTGTGGCCATGAAATCATTCTTATGTATTTCATTTTCTGGTCAACTTATTTTAACAACTGTTTTGCCAAGCATGTTCTAGTGCTTAAATTCAATATTCATTGTACGACTTCTATATTACGAGCCACTCTTTATTGGTCATCAACATTCATTCCTACCAGTAGATCTTGCATTCTGGATTATCTACATTTGACTTTATGTTTATTCATGTGTTCATGGTGATTGTAGCTTATCTGCTTCTTATACTGGATTTTGGGGATCAACATGACTGTTTGTGCTTCGTTTCTATTGACATGACTGTTTTTGCTTCATTTCCATTGCTAACTCCTCTATTCTTGTTGGCCATTTTTTCATCTTTCTTAGATCTGTTTATTGGCCTATTTCTTGCTTGACACTTGATGTTGAATTTCAAGTTTCTTCTGCATTAGGAGATCCAATTCAGCAAGTGCAGCTTCCTTGCTTTCTGATCTTGCCTATCATTGGTGCCTCCTAACTTAAAAGTGGTTTTCAGCCTCTGACTCAAACTATTGTCAACAATATCATTGTTTAACTTCCTGTTATATTGCTGCAAAAACCTCTACTGGTAACCATTTATTTTAATGCAAGGGGCATTGGATTATTTCATCTTTTTACTATGATTCTGCATAGTCATGAGTCATGTGTTGTATTTGTAGATGATTGGAAATAACATCTCTGATTGTCTCACAGAAGTTACATGAATCAAATGTTTGTTGAATTATTTAGGTCGCATATATTGCATAAAATTAATTATACGGGTCGTCTTCTTTTCTAAATACACAGGAAGAACTGAGGCCATTTTTCTCATTACCTAGAGTTTTGGACGGACTCTTCAACCTTGTGAATGTGCTCTTTGAGATTGAGATTGAACCAGCAGATGGCGTTGCTCCTGTAAGTTAATTTGTTGCATAATTTCCTAGCATTCTTTTTTTGAGTTTTGTTAGATGTGCACATGCAAAAGTACGCATGGATGCATGTGTATGTGTGTGCTTTTCTGGGGAATAACTTGAGTGTTCCTTTTTCTTCAGGTCTGGAATAGTGATGTTAGATTCTATTGTGTTAAAGATTTGTCAGGCAGTCCAATTGCATATTTTTATTTTGATCCTTATTCGAGGCCTTCGGAGAAGCGTGGTGGGGCTTGGATGGATGAGGTTATTGGTCGAAGCCGTGTAATGGCACACAATAGCAATTCTACTCGGTTGCCAATTGCTCACGTGGTTTGCAATCAAACACCTCCTGTCGGGAGTAAGCCGAGTCTTATGACTTTCCGTGAGGTGAATGTCGGAACCGAGGCTTTATTAATTTGCATGGTTGATAGCTTTTTCAGTCTATTGTTTGTTTAGAGGGGTATGAAATGAAAAAAGCTTGTCTCTACTTCCTAGCGGAGGAAAGCAGTTTATATTGTGATTTTCCAGTTTCTTTAGAAATTTAGCAGGAGATGTTGACCAATACATGAATTGTGAGTCACCTATGTAGCCTTGTAAACTTTCTCCAATGTTATTCGGACCAGACTGGTGACCTTAAGTGGGGCCACCAATCCGGACCAGTGAGGTAACTTACAAAACTAATTTTTTTTTGGAAAATCTAGAAAAATAGAAAAAAGTCAAAAAATTATTAAAAGCAACAAAACGAACTTTTTAAGGGATTTTGCAAATCATGAAAGCCCTTAAAATTTGAAACCAAAAATACGAAAGGAAATTGCACATAAGATTGTTTATTATTTATTTATTTTTTTGCATTTTTGGGTTGACATTTTAATGGCTTTTTAAATTGTCAAAGTCTTTAAAATTCAAAACCCTAAAATATAAAAAAAATTGCAGGCATTGTATTGCTTTTTAGGGCTTTTACAAATTGTAAATGGCCTTATAATTTAAAAATTGAAATTGCAAAAATAATTGCACAACATCAATTTCTGTGTTTTTCTTGCATTTTCAGTTTTACATTTTAAGGGCTTTTACAATTTGTAAAAGCCCTTAAAATTTTAAAACAGAAACTACCAAAATATTGCAAACAATAAATTTCAGTCTTTTTTATTTATTCTTTTTTTGGTTTTACATTTTTAGTGCTTTTAAATATTATAAAACCCATTGACATGTGAAAATTAAAATTGCAAAAATACTTGCACAAAATAAATTTCCATTTTTGCCGAGAGGCCCATGTTGTGGGCATTATGGTTTAACCTCTCTATTTTTCTTTCACGTTTATACAACAATTAACAGTTAAAAAAAAAACAATAAATAAATAAATTTCCATTTTCTTCTTTTTGGATTTTCAGTTTTACATTTCAAGGGCTTTTACGAATTGTAGAAAGCCCTTATAATGTTAGACTCAAAATGCAAGCAAAAAATGCAAAATAAATTATTGTTATTATTCTTTCACATTTTTGGATTTACAATTATGGGCTTTTACAAATTACAAAAGCCCTTCACGAGACAATAAATTGTAGCCGAAATAGAAACAATTTCACAAACAATTCTTTTGTAAACGCCTTAAAAGCAAAAACTGTAATTTTTTATAATTTCTTATTCTTTCTTTAAATCTAAAACAATAAAGCATAAAATAACCACTCACACTTGCCTAGGGGTTGAAGATTTCCTCCAGTTGGACGGATTTTGATTGGAGAAGTGGCCATACTTTGTCCGTAGGTCCTTGGCTCTCTAAGTTGAGAGAGGAGGGAGGGATTGCTATGTCCTCTCTCTCTCTCACACACACACACACGCTAATGGTCTGTCTTTATATCCCAAATAAAACCTAGTCCGTTATACAAAACTGAAAAGGTAAAAGATAAAACCCCTGTAAACTTTTATTCTTAAAAAAAAAAAAATGTATAGAATTTGATCTTTGGAGGATTGGGCCAGTGTGGCAGTGGACTCATGGAGAGGCCAGTTGTTGGTGCCCAAGCTTGCTAGTCAGTTCCCTGGGCTCACTCGTCCACTGGACTGATCCATTACCAAACCAACCTGTCTGGTTTGGTTCTTACAACTTTGACTTTTACTAAACTAGTCCCAATGGAAAACCAGTTATTTTGATAATTAAATCTTTAGCTGTTTAAAAGTACTTGGAACACATCCTTGTATTTTGGAAATAACATGTAAAGGAAGCCTCTTGCTAGATCATTAAGGTGGTCACTCAAAACATCCCAATTAAGGCTAGAGGGGTTCTTTTTTATTTTCATTTCATTCCGGTGCCTCCTCAAAGGCATCTTAAAAAATACTCAAATTAACATTGTTCAGGGTTGGGAACCCTTAACAAAAATGGTTATTTCAGTAATTTACCCCATCTAAGGGGCACCAACCAAATTATGGGTTTATCCCTGTTTGTTCAGGGTGGTCTAATTACTGAAATGCCCCTTTTCTTGTGTGCGTTTACCAACCCTAAATATGGGCAATTTGGGCATTTTTCTTGAGGAGGTACCTACAAGTAAAAATTAAATTGTAAAACCTTTATTGTCACTTGAGAGTTTCTGATCTCTTTTATGATTTTCTATAGGGTTTTGACCCCGTGAATGATATTTTCCATTGAGCATGTACACTATGCTTCTGCGAGAGCATCATGTGCATCTACTCCCTCACTCAAAAGACCTACTTGGGGAGATTTTTTCAATCTGAAATTTTGGGACCACCTAAGAATCTTAATGATGATTTTCAAAAGAAAAATTTTGAATTATGAGTTTTCTGATACTTGGATCTCGCCCCTCAAAAATTGGACATTCTCTGTTCAATCTTGAGATATTATTATTATTTTTAGTACATAGTTCAGTTTGGATTTTATTTTTGCCGAGGTTATTCTATGGGTTGTAGCTGTTACATGCCCACAATTAGGGGTCCTAGAATTACTCCTATATTACGTTTTATCCGAGGAAGTAACTGGGTAGTGTACTCCCATGTGGGTCTAAAATCTTTTGGCTTTTCCCTTTAATTTTCTTTCAACGGTTATCAATTGGTGGTTATGAATGTAGGTTGAGACTATCTTTCATGAGTTTGGTCATGCGCTTCAACATATGCTTACTAAGGAAGATGAAGGGTTGGTTTCCGGCATTCGTGGTATAGAGTGGGATGCTGTTGAACTCCCATCACAGTTCATGGAGAACTGGTGTTATCACTGGTAACTGCATTTAATCATATGTATTCCAAATGTTGAACCTTGCCAATTTCTATATAGTATTGTCTTTGTA